TGAGGCAGGAGGATCCATCGAGCTCAGGAATTTGAGGTTGCAGTGAGCTAGGATGACACCACTGCACTCCAGGCTGGGCGACAGAGTGAGACCCTTCCTGTCTTTAGAACAAAACAAAACAAAATAAAACAATAGCCTGTGAATTGGGAGACTATAAACAGAGAACACATTTTGTAGGCACCAATTTCTGCTTGCAGGAGCAGTGCCTGCCATTTGAAAATCTCTAGCTCCTATGCATCTGAGTGTCAGTTTCCTCAATTATAATCTAGGTCATTAAATATGAAATGTCCTATTTCGAACCAAAAGTGTAGTTTATTATGTCTCAAACAAGAAGCAGTACAAGTAATCAAAGTATGCACCTAAACTATCGACACAGTTTTGCCTTCTTAATTGTAGTTTGTTTAAGACAGCTGTGAAGAAGTCTGGAGAGCAAGTGGCAATGAAATCACAAAAGGCATTTTCCACAGCTTGTTGAGAATTGAGTATTTTTCCTTGCATGAAGTGGTCCAAAGCCTGGGAGAAGTGGTAGTCAGTTGGTGCAAGGTCTGGTGAATACGGTGCATGACAGAGACTTTCCAAGTCCAGCCTCTGTAGTTGGAGCAGCGTTGTTTGTGCCATACGTGGTGGAGCGTTGTCTTGCGAGAGGATTGGCCTGTGTCTGATTGGTCTGTATCTGTTAACCAATCTCGGCTGCTTAATCTCAAGCATCCTCATCATTTTGTCCAATTGGCTGCAGTAGACACCAGCTGTAATGGATCGACAAGGTTTCATGAAGCTGTAGTGGATAATACTAGCGCTGGACCACCAAACAGACGCCGTTAGGTTTTTTTGATGAATATTCAGTTTTGGACTGTGTTTTGGCACTTCATCTTTATCCGGCCATTGTGCCGAATGCTTGTGTTTGTCAAAAAGAATCCATTTTTCATCACACGTAACAATACAGTGTAGAAATGGTTCGCCTTTATGTTGTGACAGCAAAGAAAGGCAAGCTTGGAGACAATTTCTCTTCTGGTGCTTGTTTAATTCATGCAGAACCCATCTATCCAGCTTCTTTACCATGCCAATTTGTTTTGAATGGTCCAAAATTGTTGGACTAGTAACATGAAACTTGCTGCTGATTCATGCGTAGGTTGAGAAGGGTTCACTTCCACTGCAGCTTTCAGCTCATCATTATCCACCTTGGTTTCAGGTTGCCCATGTGGCTCAATTTCAAGATTAAAATCACCAGAACAGAACTTCTCAAACCATCGACCTACTGTGTGTTCATTAGCCACATTCTTCCCCAATACTTGTTGATATTTCAAGCTGTCTGTGCTGCATTGGTGCCACAATGCATATTCGAAAATAACACAAGCTTTTGACTTATCCATGGTTTCACAAAAATTGCTCTAAAAAAAACCTTGAAAGATAATCACAAGCAAAACCTTGGGTTTGAAAGACTGAGGATGTGCCTTCACAATAAAAATGAAAGAAGAAGTGTCAAAGTGAAATGTCAGAGATATCAACTGTCAAACTTAGTACTTAAGGGAATCAGACATTTCATATTTAATAACCTAATAAAATAGTGATGATAAGTTATGGGGCTTTCATATGATGTAAGAACCTCACAAGATAAGGGAAGAGAAAGGGTTTAGTAAATTGAGGGGCCCAGTACTCTGTTAGGAAATCCCCTGTTGAATAGTACCACAAATTTCACTAGCCCCATGACAATTGTGTACCGTCTACAGAAGAAATTGTCACCCTCAAAGGGCACATGGTCCTTCAGCAGAAAGTGATGAGAGGAGGCTGTAACCTCAGAGATTTTACTTGTCAAGACCTCTGGGAGCGTTCCTAAAGAATAGATCTAGCAATTTTTTACAATACAAGGTGGGGGTACAAGTTGCAGAAAGCAAGAACTCAGGAGACTGTTTCATTTCAGGATAACAATTGGTTGAATGCTTGCTTGTGCCAGGCACTAATCTGTCAAAAATAAAATCAGATCAAGTTAAAATTGCGAGTTGATTGTGCATACAAAAAACAACCTGTATTGGGAGGATCCTTTGAGTGCAGGAATTCAAAGTAACAACGAGCTATGATTGGGCCACTGCACTCTAGGCTGGGCGACAGAGTGAGACCCTATCCTGTGAATTGAAAGATTACAAACCAAGATTGGCAAGAAGTCTGAATTTATAGAAGTTATAGCACAGTTTAAAAAGCATAAAGGAAAAAGTATTTTGACCCTTTTTATGATTGGTTGTCGTATGTTCTTTCTAACATAAACAGAGATGCCGCTTATTTGTCTATAGCTGATTGGTTTAATTCTATTGAATCATTTAAATAAGGACAAAAATTTATGTTTGTGTTTTATGTTTAGAGTTAGCATTTTGGGGGAATCAGGATGGCTTAAGTTTTGGTTATATGTAGCTATGGGTGGTTGATATTGTAGTATTTAAACTGTGGTCTCCATTTTTATTTATTCATTTAATCATTCTAATGACTTTATTATGTGCACTGTCACCTTCTCCTCTTCCTCCTTTGGTTGCATTATTTTCTTTAATCCTCATGTCTACCCTTTGGAGTAGGAACTATTTTAACAGCCATGTGCCACATAATGATGTTTTGGCCAATGGTGAACCACATATACAATGGTGGTTCCATAAGATTATAATACTGTATTTTTACTGTACCTTTTCCATGTTTAGATATGTTTAGAGTATTCAGTAGAGTAACATGCTATACAGGTTTGTAGTCTGGGAGCAATAGGCTATACTATATAGGTGTGTAGTGGGCTATACCATCTAGGTTTGTGTAAGGACACTGTATAACGTTTGCACGATGAAATCACCTAATGCCACATTTCTCAGAACATACCCCTGTCGTTAAGCGACAGAAGACTATATCTGTATTTCACAATTGAGGAAACAAACTCAGAGAAGTGTATCACTTGCCCAAGGCGACGCAGTGGGTAAATGGTGGAACTGGGGATAGAACCCAGACAGCCTGACCCAGATTCCACACTCATCCTGCCTCCAGGGTTGTGAAATTTATGTTTGACTGAAGAGACAGCCTAATCATCAAGCAGCTGGCTCTCCAAAGGGGGGCAGGCTTCTTGGTACAAGGGTGGCCCAAGCAGGAATGGAATCTGAAGAGGCCAACTGGGGTTAGCCTGGGGTGATCAAAGTTTCGAGGGACTGAGAGAAGGCTTAAGGATAGGCCTTTTGAGGTCTCCCAAAAAATTTAGTCCTTTTTTGTGATTGTTTCTCTTGGACTAGACTGCCTTGAGGATAAAATAAACATGAGCTCCTGGAGGCAGTGTAGTATGTGGCTGGGACATGGGCTCTGCAGGCCAGCTGCGGGGGAGGGAGGAAGTCCCATCACCTCTGTCCTCTGTCCCCCATTTGAACAATGTGCCTCTGTCCTCCATTTGAAGAATGCCCCTGCTCTGAGGGCTATTCAATCTCTGAGTTGTTAGGATCTTCCAAAGATGGCAGTTTTTAGAAAGAGGAGAGTAGAATTAGAAACCCCAGTGCAGGGCCCCAGACACACCTTGGAAGGGGAAATGTGTCCATGGGAGGAAGCAAGCCCAGAGGCTTGCAGAATGAGACTAGAAGGGGACATCTCCAAAAATTACCCCTGTGGGGTCTGACTTGGGGAACTGGGGAAGGAATTCCGGTATATTTAATAACCCCCCACCCCCCAACTGATATTCTCCATTTTGGCACCCTGTTTTGTTCCTTTATAGCACTAATCATTGTTCTAACTAAATAATTAATTGGGTCATGGGTTGTTCAAAGTCTATGATTCTCATATGAGGTCTCACGTGTGCTTTTGTTCACTGTAGCACAAAGCTCATTGCCTACCATGTAGTAGGTAGGGTTCTCAGATAAAATACAAGAAATCCAGTTAAGTTTTAATTTTAGATAAAAAATGGATTATTTTTTAGTGTAAGTATGTCCCATTTGTTTATCTGAGACTCAACTTTAACTGGGCTTCCTCTATTTTATCTGCCAAACCTGACAATCCTAGTAGTGGGAACTAGAAAAGTTTTTTCTAATTTGGGGAGAATTTCCAAATTCGTAAGTATTTATGGAACAAATGAATAAACGGTTTTTTGCCTTGACTCTGCCCTAAACTTGCGATGAGACCCTTTGGCAACAATCGGCCTCTCTCTGGGCCTCAGTTTCCCCTTCGGCAAAATGGGAGTTTGGGCAGCGATAGAGCCGCCGGGATCGCCGAAGTAGCAAAGCGCTGGGTGAATTGCCAAAGAGCAGAGGGAGCTCGGATCATGCCCATACGGGATAGCCCAGGCCTCCAGACTGGGGACCATCGGCGACGACTCTGGTTCTGGCCGAAGATGCCCTAGCCCCGCCCCTATATCGCTGAGGCCGGCCAGAGGCTGTCGCCATGGAGACGCGGGCAGCCGGGAGCCCTTCCCTCAAAAAGCCACGCGTTTCCGCTGTGTTGGAGCCTTCTGATTGGACAGCTGTCTGGACGCTACCACCCGCCCCGAGCCCGCTAAGGGGTGGGGGCGGGGCCCTGTTCTCGTGGTACTCGCGCTCTCAGGACCTGTGCATGTGGCCACTCTGGAAAAGGATGGGTCCTCTGCCTCACGTGGGGAAAAGGACTGAGTTTCCTAGGTCAGGAGCGTGTCCATTACTTCTCCTACTACAGCTTATGCTCATGCCTCTCCCCGAGAAGAGGGGGCGGGAAAGTCAGCAAGCCCCCTCCAGAGCCTATTTGGTCCCAAGCTATGGAGCACCGGAAGTGCTGGCGACGTGTCAGTGCGCCCTACTCTAAACCTTCCCCCCCAGGCCACCTTTCCCATTCAGCTGTGGGATTCCGGGGCCGCCTGGGCTCTGCACCCGCCACTTCCGCACCGAACCGCCGCTTCAACCGAACTCCCTCCCTCTGAGCGCGCTCCTTCCCGTGCCTGATGGTTGGGCTGGCGCCTAGGAGTGGCCACGCCCCTTCCCGCGCCTGGCAGCCAATGGGCGGGCGGATCCTGCCGGGGTGGTGGGTAATCAATGAGGACCGGGCGCTGATTGGCTACAGGGTCAGGGCCGGGGGCTGGGCGACGGGGTAGGTTGTTCCTGAGGTGGGAGGTGGCACCCGTGGCTGAGGAGAAGGAGGCCTGAGAGCGACATGTCCCCGGCGGCTGAGGCAGAGCGGCCCGTGGCGCTGTCTTTCTGAGTCTGGGGCGGCCTGGCGGCCGGCCGAGGACAAGGGTCGGCGGGGGCTGCCCCTGCGGTGGTGGCCGCCATGCTGGGGGCCCGGGCGGTTGAGGGAGCCGCTGTAGCGCTCTTGCAACTGATGCTGCTGCTGCTGCTGCCGGCGCTCGGGGGGCTGGGGCTCGGCGTGGCCGGTGCGGCGGGGGCCGGGCTGCCCGAGAGCGTCATTTGGGCAGTGAACGCGGGCGGCGAGTCGCATGTGGACGTGCACGGGATCCACTTCCGCAAGGACCCCTTGGAAGGCCGGGTGGGCCGAGGTGAGAGCCCCTCAGCCGAGCCGCGGGATCCGGGGCCTGCCGTGCTGGCCGCAGCCGGCCGAGGGCTGCGGGCCCTGAACCCCTTCCTCGACCCTGGGGCCACGTCTCTGGAGCGAAGTTTCTCTCCGCAGCTTCCTCAGGGGCCAGGTCAGAGCTCAGGGCCTGGCATTGGCTCCAAGCTACCAAGAGCCATCGAGGCAGAGAGTTGACAAGAAGTTGTATTTTGATCTCTCATCCTTCATTTGCTCGACCCCTCGCCCCCATCCAAGCTGGGAAAGTAATGATGAGGGCGGCTTCTTGCCACCTCGAGGCCTCTCGGGTTGTAGATTATTGGTGCCCCTCCTTTCCTAGCTAGACAGTTCCTGCTAGATTCTTGCCGACCCAGAAACCGGCCGCTTCTCTTGCCCCTTCTGCAGGAGCGGGGTTTGATTCTTAGCCAGAATAGAAAGGAATCGTTGAAGACGATGGGCCAGGAAAGTTTGATCGTAGCCTCCTCCGTCGTCCTCCTTTGGAGCAAAGAATACGTGGGCTTTAAAGTAGAAGCTGCAGGCCGCCCCCAGAGGGTGGATATATTGAAGCCATCCTGCACGTGAGGCTGGTGTATGAACTGGGTCAACCAGTGTAAGAATCTTAATATTCTATCAGAGATGCTTACAACCTATCCCAGGTGGTCCTGGGATATGGTCCTGAGAGGTATGATTCCAGCTTAGGGGGAAAATGATTGTGATTGAACTGGTTGAGCAACAGTAGTTTTTACAGAGCTGTACAGTTCTCAAAGTTCGTGTAAGAATTGCCAGGGAAGCTGGTTGAAAATGCAGATTCCTAGTCCCCCTTCCAGATCTAATAGGGACCCAGGTTTCTGCACCAGGAGCTCCTGATGTAGATTCCCCATCGCCCACTTTTTGGGGAAAATCTGCTCTAGATTCTGTTTCTTCTGTAAGTGGGATTGGAAAACAGGTTTAAGAAGGAAGTTCCTTGCTTTATGTGTTGGAGGGAGATTTATGCTGTATGCTGAGTTCAGAGGCTGCCAAATTGGCAATATGCCCTCTCTAGACAACTAGGAGACAGACTTTTCTCTCACTCCTTTTTCACGATGCCCAGATTTGGCTCTTGCTTTTACTAAAGAGTTTAACTTAGTTCCTCCAAGTTAATTACAGTGTCCTGGAGTTTATTGTATCAGGGAGTTTATTGCTTTCATACATGTGAGGGTCTTGGGACACAGGCCTGTTTTCTGAAGTTCTCTGTTTGTCTTGGAATTTGTTTAGTCCTGGCATGCAGATCGCAGTAGCTTGGGTTCAGCTGAGTCAGGCTCCAGTCTTTAGCAGCTGTAACAGCAGCCAAAGCCAGGCTTTTATAGCAGGAGGTCATTACTATCTCCATCCTGGACCCTTCCTCTTTCATGGCTGTAGGCAGGGAGGAAGGAGCCCTTTGAGGAAACTAGAGACAGTTTGTGGACTTTGCCTCTTGAGATAGCAGTGGTGAGGGCAATGTGCAGATGGTTTCTTTCTCTTAGCAGATACCAGGCCTTACACTGATTACATTGTCCTGTTAGGTCCATTGTGCGGAGGATAAAGCTGACTAAGACCACACAGTTTCAGTCCCCAGATACCGCCCTTATTCAGAAATTCTGGTTTTAATTTGCTGGTGCAGGTGGCGGTGTTTTTTTTTGTTTTTGGCCTGGTCAACAGTCAGCCAGGCCCCCTGTCCTTGGGTTATTGGCTCATAGTTGGCAGTTTCTTGGGAGGAGTTTACTGTAGCAGGTAAAATTACATGAGACCTACCAAAGTTTCTGCGTATTGGACTCCTATTTCGGACACTGGCCCTTGGGGCATTGTATAAATGGAGGTTGCCCGTTCCACTCAGCCAATCGGGGTATGAATTGTAGCAGTATTAGGGCATGGATAGGGAGTGGGGGATGGTGGTTGTCAGCTGCAGCTTGGAGGAACTTGTTGCAACATTGCACTTAGCAGGTTCCTGAGAGTAACATTTTGCTGGCATTAGGTGTGGGGCTGAGATGTGTATAAACTTCCATTCTCAGGGGGCAGCTCTGTAGTTTCTATCTGCTAAGGAGTCAGCCCCACCAAGGGAAGTGCAGCTGTTCACTCTGCCTTTCCTTCTGTGGCCCTGTTTGGATAAGGGTGTGCCAGGTATTTGGAGACCCTTGCCAGGTGCAGCTATGTACACTAATTACAGTAGTAACTGTGTGCCTCATTTCTTTTCCCATATGCCTGTGATACTGTTTCCAGCATGCGAGGAAAGTGCATTGTATGTTGAATGAATTCAGATATTTGTTGCCAAGTTGGTCCAGATAAGGGTTTGGCCTGCTTTTGAACTTGCTGTTTCTCTATAGTTTCTTTGTAGTTCAGCATTCTTGTAACTGTGAGTGGCCCAGGGCATCTAGTGGCTTATGCTTTCAAAGGTACTTAATAATGTTTACTGGATTTCATTTCTGCCTTGAGGATACCTATATGCTTACAGCCTGGGAAAGGCTTTTTCAACCTGTGTGCTTCCACAGATGGAGATACTGCTACAGAAAGTGGTTTGGAAGTGCTCATCTTGGGGTTTTGGCATGCTGGACATCCCAGGTTCTTGGTCATTCTGGGTTCCTCTTCACTCTCGCTAGAAGACCTGATTATTTGGCCTGAGGGCACAGAACTTGGCTTGGTTTCAGGGCAAGGCTATTTCCTCTTCACAGAAAGATACCTGCTGAAGTTGAGTGAACTTGAGGAACTTGCTTTACCTCTCTGAGCCTTGTTTTCCTTCTCAAAAAAAGCTTCTCATGCTTTAGAAATCTTTCACGTGGCTTTGAAAACTCTCCTGTCAAGTAGGTTAAAGTGTCTCTATCTTCGCTTGATGACCTTTTACATGGAATTAAAAATAGGGCAGAACATGGCTGCAGAGGGAAAAAAAGCTGGCAGGGAACCTGAGCCTATCAGCTTCTGATTTGCTTAAGGCCACGGGATTTATTTAGAATTCTCTTCCTGTGCTGTCACCTAATGGGCAGGCTTCATCTGTAGGCCCTCCAAGTACTAAAAGTTCTCAGGTGGAAAATTCAGGTCCCTGAATCCTTGGGTTCAGTCCATTCAGAAAAATTCTCTAGGGAACTGGCGTCACTTGAGAAAGAAGTGGTTCAGAAGAATAATCTGGTGATTGGGAGGCCTAATATTGGGGTGGAGAGCAGTGCTGGAGCCCCAAGGAGAGCTTTGCAGTGGTGTTCTCACTGGAGTGTAGGCATTTATTTAGTGCTTATGGTATGTATACCCTTGCCCAGGTGGCATACTTATGTGTCTGTGTCTCCACGTGAGACATTGTATCAAGCTCTTTACAGATTGTTTTATTCTTACCGCAACGCTGTGGGGTAGGTGATACCCCCATTTTACAGGTGAGAAAACAGACCTCGAGAAAACAGCTTGTTCAGCGTTACTTAGTAGGTGGCCGAGTGAGGATTCATATCCAGGCTTGCCTTACTCGGAAACCTGGGCTGAATTTTCTAGGAGCCTGGCTGCTCCACTGTCTAAAAACTAAGAAGCAACAGCCACTATAATGTAGGCCCTTTGCCCCTCTTCCTTTTTGGTTAACTGTCTGAGCTATATTGTGCCAACATCAGCAGTGTGCTGACTGTACACTTCTTTGTATTAGAGAAATCTGTTTAGCTGTGAATGCATAAAGGCTAAGGAGGGAAGAAAAACCCTTTTGGCTGCTGTAGCTCTCGGGACTTGGGCAAATTCAACTTTGCATGTGGCAGATCTCTTGGGAAAGCCACTTGGGCTTTAAAGGGAAAATATTTAAAGGTAATTCCAAGGTTGTTAAGTAATTTTTGTTCACATGGCAGAGTTTTCTTCGCTGTGGGACTGAGACTGCCATAGATTACGTTACTGTCGGTTTCTCACTTTTTCCACTTGGCAAGAAAAAAAAAAAGATTCCCCACACATGCACAAAATTTTCAGTGTATCTATAAATCAAATCTAGTTAATGTTCCAGATTTCTAAGGATCGCGGTCCTCATGGAAGAAGGAAATTCTTAGAGCTCAGTTGGAAGAGAAATAGCAGTCTTTTAGTCTTTATAGGTTTGTATCCCGGGGTAATGGTTTTTTGAGCCTGGGAAAGAGCTGGGGCTTGTTAGCAGGACATCCTTTGTAGTGCTGCTCAGCCACCCTTCTTTGATTTCTTGAGGAGAAATAGGAAGAAAAAAGTCTAAAGACAAAAGTGCAATGAGTTTCCTGTTCCATTGTCTCATCAGTCCATCTGATCTTGTGGCTGATGTCGTTTACAGGAACTGTTAACAGTTATGTTTATTTTTTTGAGGGCTTGACCACAGCCAGTGGGTCTTTTAGTTAATCTTTCACCTTTTTCCATGTCCTCTCCCTTGAAGTTTTGGTGATTCAGAAGATAAAGCTCTGGGAATAACTGCTCCTGGGCATCTCCCAAAGGACCAAGGTGCCAAATGTTTTCAGGGTCTCCATGTGAGATGGGAAGGCGGTCTTGTTATCTTAATTCCATGCTGGAGGAGAGGCTAAACTAGTGCTAGATCTGTACTTTGGAAAACAGGTTTATGGAGCACTGGAAAGCCTCGTTGTGTTTATAGGATAAAAGAGTCAGGCTACTCTCTGAAGGAGGAAGCATAACTATTCATCTCTGGAGCTGAAATGTGATATCTTATGTTTGACGAAAGATCTCAGTTTAGTTTGTTGTGTGGGAGGAAGAAAACATGTGCAACTCATCTCCTACTAAGGTTGGGAGGGGGCTGGGGGCAGTAGAGGTTTTTGGCTCCTCCAGTACTGCCCCAAGGTTAAGTATCTTTTTACTTTTACCTTGCATTTATTCCTTGTCAGTTTGTGAAATGGGAAAGGTGGCTCAGCCAGGACCCAGGACTCAGTCACCTTAAGCCAGAGGTGCCAGTAGGACCTTGGCAGATTTTCTTTCCCTGCAGGATGCTCTAGCCTCGTGGATAGAATGGCAAGTCTTCGCGGCTTTGCACATACCTCCTTCATTGCCATTGGTTCGTTCAGCAAACCATATCGAGTGGCTGCTATGTGCCAGGCACCGTATTGGGTGCTGGAGATACAGTAGGAATTTTTTTTCTTCTGTTGGTTTATCTGGGGGAATGTTCAAGAGAGTAGGTGAGGTAGAGTGTTGTGAGTCTGTGGGAAGTTAAGGTGCTTGGACCTAAAGGAAATTAGAGAGCATCACACCCCTCATTTATGAGCCTGTTTCTGTTTACTAGTTTTTGAACTTTTACAATGAAAATTATTTAAAAAAACAAAACTAAAGCTGGAATCTTACTTGTAGAAAAGACAATGAAGAATGACTTTCCTAACCAGATATCCTGTTTGTTTTAGACCCAGAGCCTTTCTGAATGAGAAAAAACATTCTTTGAACGTGATCACCTTGTATAGAGTTCCTGGCTATCCCCCTTGTTTAGGAGGTTTCTCTGAAGCTCTCCCTTTCAGGGAACCGGGAAGCTGCATCGTAGCACTTTCTTGTAATAATGAGTTCGACTTGCTCTCTTCCCATCATTCTCCATACAGTTGGGAAAAAGTCATTTTAATGTGCTTTCAGAAAGTTCTGCTCTGAGGGTTATAGGGGCTGTTGGAGTGATCAGTGTTTAGTTTTTTTCATTTTACTCTTCCTTGGTAATGGCTGTCTGATTCCTGCCTTTGTTTGAGTTCTGTTTGGAGCCAAGTGCAGAGGGGGTGGCCTCTTGGGTGGAGAGGGTTATTAGCACTGCCCTGGAAATGCCTCTGGCAGTTTTGGGGTCTCTGCTATTCTTTTATGTCTTGCCTCTGATGTGCTTTCTTTTTGTCTTTTTGTTCCCAGCCTCAGACTATGGCATGAAACTACCAATCCTGCGTTCCAACCCTGAGGACCAGATCCTATATCAAACTGAGCGGTACAATGAGGAGACCTTTGGCTACGAAGTGCCCATCAAGGAGGAGGGGGACTACGTGCTGGTGTTGAAATTTGCTGAGGTCTACTTTGCACAGTCCCAGCAGAAGGTGAGGCCTGGTCAGGCCTCTGCTTGACCAGTGGGACATGCTACTCTTGGACACTCTTCTGCTGTGGGGCTAGAGAGTGTAAGAGCCTCCCTAGAAGGGAGGAACAGATGAGCTCTGAGGAAGAGCTGGATTCCTTCTGTCTCTAGAGAAGCTATATCCCATTGCCCACAAAGCTGCACTTGCCTTGGGGGTTGGTGACAGAAAGCAATGCCAGAATCCTGGTTTTTGCCACTAACTGATCCTACTAAGGCCCTCCTGGTTACTGCTCCCACCATGGTTTTCAATAGCTTTTTTTTAGCCTTATTCTTTTCTTCTTTCCCTTCCTGTGAATTTCCTTCTTTCCATGTGGAGCTTTTTGTTTGTATTCTTTGTTCCTTAAAGCCAGTATGAAACCTCCTTGGCAGTGAAGGAACATAGCATTGACTTGGCCCAGGTAAAGGACTCTAGACACCCTAGGCTCATCATTTCTTTTTTTTTTTTTTTTTTCCCCATCCCACACCACGGCTCATCATTTCTTACATTATTTGTGAACTTGAAGCCCAGGCAGCTGCATAATGTCCAACCGCTTGAAGGGATGTGAAGCTGGTGGCTTTGACATTTGTCTCCTTTTCTAATCCCGGAAGGTATTTGATGTACGATTGAATGGCCATGTTGTGGTGAAGGACTTGGATATCTTTGATCGTGTTGGGCACAGCACAGCTCATGATGAAATCATCCCTATGAGCATCAGAAAGGGGAAGCTGAGCGTCCAGGGGGAGGTGTCAACTTTCACAGGGAAACTCTACATTGAGTTTGTCAAGGTAACACCCCTACTCTGCCTTACAGCTGAGGAGGGGCTGAAAAGAGTGGGTATGGGGGAAGATGCCTGCTGCTGTGTGGGGTTGACCACTGTTTCCCATTTCTTAGGGGTATTATGACAATCCCAAAGTCTGTGCACTCTACATCATGGCTGGGACAGTGGATGGTAAGTTGTGTTTTGATCTGCTTTTTGATTTTGGCTGAAGGATGTGGTTGAGGAAACCCTTGGGAGATGATTTAGCTGATCACTATTTTTGAAACACTTAAAGCCAAATTGTGGGGAATTTGGAATCAGATGGATGAGGATAAAGTATAATATGATGTTAGCTATAAGCTTTACAGTAAGGTCTACATTCATATCTTGTTGCTACCATTTGATCAGCTGTTCTTCTTGGATAAATTCCTTTAACTTACATGTAAATTGGGATTAATAATGGTACCTTTTGGTGTGTCCTGACCCTTATAGTCATTTGGAATCACCTAAAACTTGTCCTTAATCTGTTTCTTTGTTTGACATCTGTTTCCAGGCTTTCCTAGGAGAAAAAGGTAAAGAGAGTAGTGCTTTAGAGTTTTGGTATGCTCTGAAAGATTCCAGCATCGCTGGACTGTGCTGGGACAAAAGTTCACTTATTTATGTCTCCTGGTCCTTGGAATCCAGCCTTAGGTGTGTCTCTTTCTCAGGGTTTAGATTATCCTGGCTGCCACCCTCCCAAATTTTTTGCAGAGAAAGCTCGTGTCTTAGTGGCTTTTCTCCCCCATCCCACCTCTGTGCCTTTTTCCAACTCATCTTGAATGCACTGAAGATCTCATCCTATTGTCTTGATGTTTCCCCTAAATGCTAATATTATGACATCTAGGAGGATGTCTTACCACCAAACAGACCTGTGCTCAAGTCCATAAGGAGGAGGCAGGACAGAGGGGTAATATGTACTGAGAACCCAGAACTCTGGGGACCAGCTTTTCTTAAGTTGCTGTGTGAATCAAAAGGGAATGTGGGCTGGGCGTGGTGGCTCATGCCTGTAATCCTAGCACTCTAGGGGGCCAAGGCAGGAGGATGGCTTGAGCTCAAGAGTTCGAGACCAGCGTGAGCAAGAGCAAAACTCTGTCACTACAAAAAATAGAAAAATTAGCTGGGCATGGTGGTGCATGCCTGTAGTTCCAGCTACTCAGGAGGCTGAGGCAAGAGGATCACTTGATCCCAGGAGTTTAAGGTTGCAGTGAGCTACGATGATGCCACTTTACTCTACTGTGGCAACAGGGTGAGACTCTGTCTCAAAAAAAAGAAAAGGAAAGGAATGTGAGCTTGTGGGAAGGAGGCGGAGGGATTTGAAAAGGTTAGATTTTGCGTTTCGGGTCATTCATTGTTCCTGTCCAATCTGTCCTCTTGGGGCTATGAAGTAAGATAGGAAGGGAGAATAGTGAGCCTCCCTGTGGGTAGGGCTTTTACTATTTTTTAGTTAAATCTAAAAAAGACTAGTTTTTGCAGCTCTCTGCTGTTCTGTAGGCTAGAGGCTATTTCTGCTACTTCTGCACCTTTCTGTGGGCCCTGGTTAGGTCACAGGAGTCTCTTTATTATAGCTCATTTGCTACTCTTAAAGATCTCACTTCAATGCTGTGGGTCTAACTTAACAGGTGTTTTCTTTCTTGTGTTAGATGTACCAAAGCTTCAGCCTCATCCAGGATTGGAGAAGAAAGAAGAGGAAGAAGAAGAAGAAGAATACGATGAAGGGTCTAATCTCAAAAAACAGGCCAATAAGAACCGGGTGCAGTCAGGCCCCCGCACACCCAACCCCTATGCCTCGGACAACAGCAGCCTCATGTTTCCCATCCTGGTGGCCTTCGGAGTCTTCATTCCAACCCTCTTCTGCCTCTGCCGGTTGTGAGAACAAATGACCATCCTGAACACGGTGGAGGGGTGCAGGAAAGAAACCAAACCTGTTGGCTTTGGTTTCTGTATTTTTCACAATGATTAATGGAGAAACAAAACAAAAGAAAAAAAAACACACAAAAATTAAAGGAGATAAAAAGAGGCAGAGTGAGTAGAGAGCAGCCCTCATCCACCACCTGGTCCCAGACCTGCTTCAATCCTAGTCCTCTCTTTGTGGCTGGCCCCCAGCCATTTCTTTCCTTTCGAGGGTACTTAGGGTACACTGGATCCTTCCTGTTCAAGGATCCTCATTTGTATACCTGGTGGAAAGGACTCTGAATTCAGAGCAGTCACAGTTCCTTTTTTTAGCTTGGAAATTAACAGCAGGGAAATGTCATCTTACTACCTGAAAAGACCAGTCCTGGGAGTTGAGTATGCTCTGAACTCATCTCCAGATATGTTTTCATATGTCCTGGGATTGAGAGTGTATATGTCAAGGTATATAATTTGTATTGTAAAAACAAAAGGAAAAAAGAAGAGTGATTTAAAAAAAGAAAGAAAAGTAAAAGCTTCCTTACTTGGAAGCCTTTCTAGATTAATCCAATGATGGTTCCACCTTAAGTGTCTGAGCTTTGTCATTGCTTATCTCCCTGACATGTGCCAGTTAGAGGACTGTCTGGTATCCAAGACAATTAGTTCACATCAAGTCCTCAAATTGCCTCTGACTTGTTACCACAACAAATCATTTTGATTTCAGTGCCTGTTGGGGACTTGATTTCTTCTCAATTTTTTTCTTAATCTGGCTCTTTTGAAATCTCTTCTCCCTCTCAACCATCCCACTAAGTTATTACCAAGAAGGGAAGGAGACATGGGGATTTGGGGTTCTCTGCTTGAATGTCTTTTCCTTGACCACCTCACCTTGTTGGTACCTCCCTCCCTGGGTCTCTGAGCCAGCAGCCAGGAGGACCTGACCCAGAAGCTCTTTATTGGCCCCTTTGTAGGGTCTTGCTGCCAGGGGGCAGGGATGCTTTCCAGCCTGCAGCAACAGAACACTTGACCTTAAAAGCCTCTTCTGGTCTTTGGATTAGAAAAGGCTTATGTTAGCATAGCTTAAGAGCAACCTCAGAGACTTGAGCCCTATTAAGTGACTGACCACTGTTTAGATTGTCTGGTATCTGACGTTCATTTATTTCTATGTCCTTCTGTGTCACAGTTCAACCAGTTTTGATTTATGCCTAGAGCTGCCCCCAAGGAACTAGACTGATTGGCTGTATGGGCCCAGCAATGATCTCAATAGTATGTACCCTGCTCCGTGCCATCCTTTCATTTCCCTATCCAGGCAGCAGTCAGGGTCTTGGTGTGGTGAGCTGAAAGATTTCCAGTCAGCCATAGTCCTTGTGGCTCTGAAGCTAACCTTAGCATCTAAGTGTCTGTCTTGAATTCCCTGGAAAAATTTCTACAGGAAATGAAGCTTCCCTGGTCCCTTCGTTTTTTGGTCACCATTATCCATTACCCAGTTAGGGGAACAATGAGGGAGGACCTGGCCAAGCTTAAAGGACTTTGGTAGATGACAGACAGCAAGATTAGCTTCATTGTGGGCTGGAGTGTAGAATCTCAAGCCAGGGCCATCTTTCTACAATATGTTTAGTTTTGAGTTTGCCTTATTAGATACGTTTTTTAAGAGCTCCGTATCTTTGAACTGCTCTTCATGTGACAAAGTCAGTAGCTCTTGGGCTCATGTCCTGGGTTTTGGCTCTTAATGATTACTCCAGGCCAGCATTTAGTCATTTGAGAATTGTAGCCCTGTATTATTTTTGCTGTGACTTGCGTCTCAGTACTAGGTTGGTTGTGGCCTGAGGCTGCAATCAGAGGAACACTTTCCGGAGTGTTTCATGAAGCTCCCCTGCTTTTAAAGGATGAGGTACTGTAGCCTTGGTCTTGGACCACCTGCCTGGGGCAGTGGACATCCTGACTAATTGGGCTTCTGGCAGTGGCTTTGGTTCCCAGTCTATCATAATACCCCAAAGCCAGGGGCCACTGCTGATAGATTAGACAAGATGAAGAAGGAGGACTTGCTGCCTCCATTTTGCCTTGTTTGTTAGTTTGCCTGGGTCTCTCTGAGGAGGGAGGGGGTCCCGCCTCCACCTCAACCCATCCCTTTAGTGACTCAGAGTCTCAGAAGGAAACCCTGACCCCTGGGGCCGTTTCCTAATGGTACTGTAAGCCAAGCAGCTTTGCTTCTGCCTCTGTTTCCAAGCCCACCCCTTTCCCCTGAGCTCAGGGATAGGATGGGCGCTTTCCTCTCTGGTTGTGTCCGAAAGGAAGGAACATCTTTCTATGGCTAACAAAAACCAGGGGAAGTGAGGAAACAGGAAGAAGTATGGTGGGGGCCGGGGTAGATTCTCCTGGAGCCAAGCCCACCCACCTAACAAGAGCTGCCTAGGGCTGGCTGCAGCTGGCTCATGATGCTGAACTTGAAAGCTTCTTTTTTTTTTTTTTTTTCCTCCTTTAAGATATAGGTACATGAAGTTTAGGTTAAAGGGGTGGGCTGGGGCACTCTTTATTTTTATTTTTGTATGTTATGTGTCAAGAATTACCCTGTTGTTCATCTTTTGCTTTTTGCACTGTTTGTTCCCCTGTCTGTGTTTTGAGCTAGTGCTGGGACGGAGAGGCTGCCCCGGGCTTGGGAGGTGATGAGGGCTGCCACTTGGCGAGTAGGGGGAAGAGAGGTCTGTCTCTTTGATTGGATCTACGCTCTGTCTCAGGATTTTAGATCCCACTCAGCCCAGCTGGCCAAAGACAAGAGCAGAGAAACTTATTTTGCCAGAAATGTGGCCTAAGTTGAGTTTGTGGAAGGGCCATGCAAAACCCTCTGCTGGAGATGGGCCGAGAGTCTGCAGTCTAGCTCTGGTTTGGGTCAGGGGCAGCTGGTCTCTAATCGGACTTTTTCGGGTCTCACTCATGCTTGCTTACTGAAACATCGTGTCAAGAAACTCTGGGATTCATCTTTCTTAAACCAGATCCATTTTTCTAAAAATCTCTACTGTTGTGAGGCTGCTCAGTGAATAGCTCGAGTTCTGGTGATTTGAAAGACAGTTATCTTCAAGTGTCCATGGCGTTAGACTCCCAGGAGGACTACCCCCTACCTGTAGGGCCACCTGTTCGGTTGAGAGTATGATCATGTTCTCTTGCTCCCACTGCCTAAGAGTTGCTGGGATCACGTTAGAAGTCGCTTAGGCTTTAATGAGATGGGGTGAAGTTTGAGTTAAGTTTACCTCCCCCTTTCTGTGCCTGGGAAACTGGTCCAGTTTTAGAATTATGATTTGACTTCTTTCTCTTTTGGTAGAAGCTTCTGTTTTAAGGAATTTCTCTTTTTATCCTGCCCGTAGCCTCTCCTGGAATGGCCTGGCCATGGCTTCTAGAATCTCAGCTGAGAACTTCAGAAAACAGTAGCAGTATTTTCCTTTACCTAGTGCGAACATCCCTTTCCCTAGGAATGAGCTCACCTTGGGAAGCCCAGGGGAAGAATCATAAGGTTCTCTACCCTCCCTGGGGATTGGGGAAAGACCCACCCCCAGTCAGCACAGTGCCTTTTCCTCTCCTGCTCTGAGCCAGGGTGGGCATTCCCTCTAGATTCAGGTCTGGGCAGAGGTCCTACAGTCCCTGCCACGGGGCTACTTTCCCATCCCTTCTTGCCCCTCCCCTTTGCTGGCCTACTCTGACATAATTCTTCAAGTGTCTTCTTGCCTTGAGGAGCCTTAATGGCATCAAGTGGCAACATGTAATATTGTCCTCCATGGCTCTCCAAAAGAACCTAGGAGAGCAAGGGAGCTTTCTACAGTGAGAACTAATAGATGTTCCTGTTTTTGTTTTTTTTTTTTTAAAAACAGGCAGGGTGGGGAGGTATGTTTTGGGCCTCCTTCTGCTGTGGCCCCTGAGGAAGGAGGCTGGGGACAAGGCTGTGATAGTGCACTGAAGCAGAACCAGAAACAACCAGGATCTGTTCAGAAATCTCAGCAGAAACCGGTCTCTTTTCTATGGAAAGATGTAATTAGAGATCAAAGAGCTCTAAGGAAATTGCAAAGAAGCCTTAATGTTCAGGCTTTGGAGAGATCAGAGCAATTTTTCCTTTTCAGTCAGAGAGCTAAAACTCTTTCTGTATTTAGACCTCTCCTGAGGCAAGAGGGCTGAATTTCCTCATTTTTTTTTTTTTTATAAAACTAGATTGGCACCAACGGGTCAGCTGCCCAGTGAGGGCGGGTTTCTCCTTTGCACATGTGCGGCTTGCTGCCGATCTGGTTTGTCCTTCTCAGCTGCCTTTTGTTTAGCCTGCATTTGGTAGCCAGAGCATCTTGATAAGAGCAGGTGATTTGTGGACTGGCTGGGTTGGCAGGAAAGGAGCAGGATGGATCTCTCGGGACAGGTTCCCCCAGGAGTATAAAACAAGGAGCCAGGATTGTGCTGGCAGCCGGGCAGATAGTAGTGCCTGTTTCAGTTGGCAGAGAGGGCCTTGGCACCTCTCACATCCAGGCAGTGTTGTGCGACGGGGGCACACAGCACTGGGAAAAGCAGAACTCCATTCTCACCTCTATTTTCAGCTTCTGTGCTTGATTTCAGTATGAGGAAAAACAACAACAAACTGAAGTGTGCTTTCCGTCCTTTCAAAGGACAACTGTCGGAAAAGGAGAGCTGAGTTGCCAGGTGGGGGGAGAGAAATTGGCAGGGGGAAACATTCTTGACTTCTCTCTTCCCTGGTGTGTCCTGATCCAGGGAATGAAAAGAAATTTGACCCTGGATTAGTTCCCTCCTTGGATTGAAGGAATCTTACCTTTTCCTCCCATGAAGTTCTCCCAGGCTAGCACCAGCTGCCCATTCTGAGCTCAGGGCAGCCTCTCCAACCATTGTTGGCCTAACCTGGCTTGTCGGGAAACCAACCCTACCCCTCCACACTGGGCCTGGCTGCTCTATTCTGTACCAAGTACTGGAGAAAAAATGTCAAGTTCTTAGTAGCGCTTGCAGCTCCTATTCTAGTTTCCCATCCTTTCTCTGCAGAGGCCAAACCAACTCTTTGTAGCCACAACACACATTACGGTGGCACAGTGAGATGTAATCGAGGGGCTTTGAACCTGGCTGGCCGGGGAGACCATAGGGGTGGATAGAGCCGGCCCTCTTTCTGGGCTGTCTCCATCTGTCCCTACCCCTTCCATGCCCCACCCCACTCCCACCAAAAAGTAAAAAATCAGGATGTTTTTCACTGTCCATTGCTTTGTGTTTTAATAAACAATTTACAGTGATACTCTGTGTTGGAATTGAGTTTGACCTTGATCGCAAAGAGGTGAACTGATGGGGTGGGAAAAGGGAGACCCAGGAGTTCACTTGGCTGTGAAGAGTTCTTTTTTTCTTTCCAGGATGTTTGGTTAAGGGAATCATACTCTATAAAACCCTGCCTGTCCATTTCAACCAGCAACGCATTCAAGGACAAATAAAGTGGTTTGTTTTTATTTTCACTGGAACACCAGACCCTGACTATCCCATTCCTAAGGTACACTGGGCCTGTAGCTGCCTCTTCTTACTGTTCACTTAGCCTCTGTGGTAGCCCATGGAGAAACTAAGCCATAGGATATTTTTCTCTGCTTCCTTTTCTGATGTGTTGTCAGTGTTGAGTATACGTGAGAAGGGCAGAATGCAGGAAGGATTTTTTTCCTACGTTTTACAGCTGAGAAATGTGAAGCTCAAAAAGGTTCATTAGGCCAGGCACTGTGGCTCACACCTAGAATCCCAGACTTTGGGAGGCTAAGGTGGGAGGATGGCTTGAGCCCAGGAGTTCAAGACCAGCCTGGGCAACATAGCGAGACCCCCATCTCTACAAAAAATTGTTTTAAAAATAAGCTGGGTGTGGTGGTATGTGTCTGTAGTCCCAGCTACTCGAGAGACTGAGGAGGGAGGAATGCCTGAACCCAGGAGTTTGAGGCCGCAGTGAGCTATGATCAGACCCGTGCACTCCAGCTTGGGCAACCGCAAAACCTTGTCTGTAAAAACCAAAAAGTTTAGTCATTTACCCTAGACTGGTCAGTAAATCGCCAAGCCAAGATTCAAATCCAGTCTATCTGTCATCAAAGTCCATGCTTTTTCTAAGGCTATAAAAATAATTACAGCTAATCTTTATTGAGCCCTGGAAATGGGTTAGGCACAATGCCAAGCATTTTACAAATGTTATCTCTCTTTACTCTTCAACAAACCAGTTGGTGTTACCCTTTAAGAGGTGAAGTGACTTGCCCAAGGCCACACAGCTGGCAAAAGGCAGAACTGGGATTTTAAACCAGGATCTTGCTCTTAATCAGTACTCTCCATTGCCTTCTGAGTACCCATGATGCTGTGTGGCATGGCTCTAGAGCCTACCTGCCTATTTCTCCAAGCAGGAATGGCAGCTGCTGGCTTGTGGAGGGTGGGGGAAAGTGAGGGAAGGAGTTTGACCTGCCTCCCTCAGTTACCCCTTGAAGGGCAGAATACAGCACTCACACCCAAGAATGAAGCCAGTTGATAAGTCTGTTTTCAGGGCCCAAACAAGCCAGGTGGCCCACAGAGCCTCTTTCTTAGGTTAAGCATACCCGTAACTGGAGTTCTTTACTAATTCAGATTTAGCTGTTACTATTTCAAGGAGCTTTGCATGGGCTGCCAAATGGGGAAGAGACCTGAAGAACTCCTGCTCTAGGGAGTTGCGGGGAGGGAAATCGTGTGACAGAAGATCTTGGGCCAAGGACAGGGGTTGGGTTGGACCACTCTGTGGGTCCAGATCTTAATCTTGCTAAGGAAATCAGGCTCCCGGTTGGCTGGAGCCAGTGTCAGACCTTTCTCCATACTTAGTACCCTTCCCCATCCCCCACAGAGGAAGAGATGAGTTTTTCCAACACTTACTGGAAAGCTTGTTGCTATAGGGGTCAAGGCAGAGAGAGGGCGGGGCATGGAGGTCTGGGACTTGTCTCTGCTCTCTAGCAACCTGAGGCAGTGGGCACCTCACTCTGCAACTCTGGCCCCAGTCTTAGTTTTGTTTGTTTTCACTTACATTAGTGAAAAAGAACCCCACTTGCTTTTTGGCTAAGGCCTTGTACTAAGACTGGCTCTCCCCGGTTTCTTCACTGCTTCCACTTGAACCTGTCTGTTTCTTCCTCAAGGCTCCTCCTTTCCTCTCAGCTCTGACTTGAGTGTTTTTTTCAGTCCCCACACTCTCCCATCCAACTCTGTGGCTTCTCCCTGCCCAGTGTGCCTGACCTCAGCAGAGGGCTCCTGGAGAAAGAGGCTACTTATGTATGTTGCCATAGCAACCATCCACAGGACACTCTCCCTGGCACCAGCACAGTGCTATTTGTTGTTGTTTTGCGTCTCCTCTTCACAACCACCCCAGGAAAGACGTGTGACTGGCCTGACTTATAAATGAGGAAACAAAGGCTCAGAGGGGAGAAATGACCTACCCAAAGTCACATAGCTGGTAAGTGGCAGAGTGAGGACTGGAACCCAACCCGAATCTGTGTTCTTAATGCCATGATATACTATTTTTAAAAAAGAACCTTTTGAATGTTGATAACTGATGAAGCTATGGTTACGTGGGGGTTTATTGCAGCCTTTCTCTGAGAAAGTAGCTTTTTAAGACTTAGTGAGATGATGCCATTGCACTTACACTCTAGCCCGGGGGACAAGAGTGAGACCCTGTCTCAGAAAAAAAAAAAAAAGACTTAGTGATACAAGAATATATAAATATACATATAAATGTATTTTTAAAAATTATGTGGCGTGCAAAATGTGAAAAGTCATTTTCATCCCTATCCCTCTAATCCCTAAAAGATAATCCAAGTGACAGTCTGGTGTGTATCTCTCATTTTATATGTATTTACATATATATCATCTTTTTAAACAAATGGGAATATTATATACCATTCTGTACCTTGCTTTTTTACCTAATGAGTCTTAGAGAGTTTGTTCTCATAGATAGGTCAGCACATAGATTTTCCTCAACCTCAAGGACTGCACAGTATTTTATGGTTAGATTGTCACTGATTTTACCAATCCCCTGTTGATGAACTTGAAGATTGTGTTCATTTTTTGTCAGTACAGACTGCTGCAGTGAACATGCTGGTACGTCTTCATGTATATGCGCAAGTATTTCTTTAGAATTCCTTTAAGAAGTTACTGGATCAAACAATATATGCATTTAAAATTTTCAAAGTACTTGCCCTGCACAAGGCTTTGGTGAATTTTTACTCAGTCTTGTGCTGTATGACATGCCAGAAATATTTTTTGAAAACAGGTGGGATATAAATAATAAATTAATGCTTTTATCCTCAGCCAGGGAGTAAAGTGACTTGGGTACTAGGGAAATTACTAGTGCTCATTCCCAGACCACAAGGCATGCCTGCAATCCCAGGCATGACTTACTGATTAGATGCATGCCATTTTTAGGGAGGCAGCAGAAAGGAGGACTGAACTTCCAGTCTCGGCAGAAAAAAGCTTTCTGATGTCTTATTTACCTTGCTTGCACCACCTCCAGGTCCCTCCTGCATGGCCTGATTTGAGGCAGACTGCCTGGCTACTCTGGGACTGCTCTGGAAAACAGCCACTGTCACACCTCTTACAGGGAGGAGGAGGACAACCAGCTGGAGGGACTCTGCTGGGGCAAAAGGGAGGCTAGCTTTTCTGCTCCAGGCTTCACGAATGTCTAGCCCAGGGAAACTTTGGGGTTACTATTTAATACATAACTATTTTCTATTTCTATTTTCTAGTTTTCTATTTTCTTTCTTCCCCCAAACAAGGTGTTAATATACATACCTTGCAAAAAACATATTTAAAAGAGTCTTTTAGATTACTTGAGCCCAGGAGTTCAAGGCTGCAGTGGGCTATGATTGCACCACTGCACTCTAGCCTGGCTGGCAGAGTGAAACACTGTCTCAAGAAAAAAAAAAAGAAAGAAAGAAAGAAAGAAAAGAAAGAAAATTTAAAAAGCCCTTTAGAAAGATTTGGTGAGGAATGTCAGGTTGGAGTTTACAGCACTAATTATACCTGCCCCTTTTTATTTATTATATGTATAACATATAATGATATATGTTAAATATGTAATTATATATATATTTCTTTTTAGTTTAGTTTTCTACTCTTCAAAGATACAGTCTATTCTTTTTTTTTTTTTTTTTGAGACAGAGTCTCACTGTGTTGCCCGGGCTAGAGTGCCGTGGCGTCAGCCTAGCTCACAGCAACCTCAAACTCCTGGGCTCAAGCGATCCTCCTGCCTCAGCCTCCTGAGTAGCTGGGACTACAGGCATGCGCCACCATGCCCAGCTAATTTTTTCTATATATTTTTAGTTGTCCAATTAATTTCTTTCTAATTTTAATAGAGATGGGGTCTCACTCTTGCTCAGGCTGGTCTCGAACTCCTGAGCTCAAACAATCTGCCCGCCTCGGCCTCCCAGAGAGCTAGGATTACAGGCGTGAGCCACCGCGCCCGGCCTAGTCTATTCTTTTGAAGCACAGTTCATAAGTAGTCACCAGAGAAAATACGGGCCCTGACTCCCTCATATGGCAGTATTTATTAATATTTAATTCTTTTTAAAACAGAAAAAGTTGATTAAGTTTGAGATTGTTTTCAAGTTTTAAGAGAAAATAAGGCTAGTTCGGCATAGAGTCTGCCTTCCAGACACAGATTGTAAGATATTTTCTTTTTTAAAAAGTATATAAGCAGCCCATGGTCATTTGCTTGCGATAAAATAGTACAGAAGTAGCTCTAAATAGTGTCAAAAGTGAATGAATATATTCCCTTTAGTCTCTTCCAATACTCTTCTTCCCAGAGAGGGAATCAAGGTTAACGTTTTGATGTGTAACCAGATCTTTTCCTTTAGTTATAAATGTACATCTATTTATTTATATATTCTCTATTTTAAATAAATGAGATTCTGTGCCTTGCATTTTCCTCCACTTAACATCTTTGAGCTCTTTCCATACTAGTGTATATATTAATATATCATCTCATTTTTTTTTTTTACCAGCTGTATAACACGAATTAATACAACTGAATATAACATGTCGGTATTACGAATGGTCCTGCAGTGAACATCTTTGTGCATACTTGTAGGCTAAATTCCTGGATGTGGAATTGCAGGTAAAGGGGTTACATTTGCCGTCATCCCTACAAAGTGAAAAGCCATGGTCCAATAACTAGTCCTGGTGCTCTGAGAACAAAGGTTTAGTGAGCAAGTATCTGGAAAATGGCTGCATGCTGAACACCACCCTCTTGGCAATTCACAATCAGGTAGCATATTAAAAGTTCTCGAAATTCTTCAGTAACTACTCACTGTTGAATGGTTTAAAAAGAGTTGTTGCAAAAGGAAAGACTTTAAGTCTTTGTACACATTTATTAAAATCTCCCAGAACGGTTTGATAAGTGCCACCATATGCTAATCTCTCAAAGACAGACAACATTTAGGTAGGAACTTGGCTGCATACTGTTACACCCAGTTGGGCAGCTGGGGTAGTGGTAAGGTTTGAACTTTGTCCAGGAACCAAGAGAGGCCTGTCAGCCCCTCCCAAACCCCTCAGGTCAGGTGAGAGGGACCCAGCAAGGCCTGGCATAGGTCAGATCTTGAAGCTATGGAGGAGGGGTGTAATTTCACTCTAGCCTGTGTCTAGCTGAGAGGAGACATCAGACCTCCCAGACACACTTTGCCTCCATCAGGCCTAGGCCTCCAACACAGAAGAGTGTAGATCCAGAATCCCTTGAGAAAGAGCTATTTGGGGTATAAGAGGGCAGTGCCCCTGCCGTTAGTGAAATAGTTAACTTCCTGTTAACTTCCAAGGCTCAGTGCCCATGTCATGTCTGTGAAACCTCTCTCCGCCCCCGCCCCCGCCAAACCCTTACAACCAGGTGAGACAGAATAGATCACTCCTGTGTGCTCTTGTAGCACCTTTGCTGCGTCCTGCATGGCATGCAGTGAGTTCTGTCTTCCCGTTCATACTGACCCTGCTTGTGAAGCAGGGTGCTTCACCGTCTTCCCTAACAAAGTGGGAGCTCCTCCATAGCGGGGTACTGCTCAGGCTTTCATTCATTCATTCATTCATTCACTCATTCAGTTATTATTGAGCACCTACCATGTGTCAGGCATTAGCTAAACTGCTGGAAATAGTGGTGTGTCATGCAGACCCAATTCCTGTCCTCATTCTTTTATTTCCTGTAGCCTAGCCCAATGTCTAGCCCAAGACCTGGCACAGTAGGGTTTAGGGATGGCAATCTAATTGGAAAGCTTGTCTCGAAGCTGCCTTTGCATAGCATGCACTTTTTAAACTTACCTTCTATGCTAAAGGTATTAATAAACATTTTCTCAAGATGCACTGTCCACAGTGTATATGACAGAAATTCATTTGGCCATTATATATATTTTTAAACATCTGGGGTGACCTTGGGGGCCTGATGGATAGTATGGGGGTATTAAGGCCCCAGCCACTCTTTGGCTCACCACCTGGCCGGACCAAAGTTGGTGCGAGAGCAGCAGCGCCGCGTGCCCGCAGGCCCCGCCCCCTCTCGCCCCCGCCCCGCCCCCGTTCTCCATAGTTACGGCGCTGTGGAGGCGGCGGCCATCTTGGCGGTGGAGCGATGAACTGGTCGAACTCGAAGGCTGCGGCCGCGGGGTCTGCGGCTGGGCCCGGGGGGCTGGTGGCTGGCAAGGAGGAGAAGAAGAAGGCGGGCGGCGGCGTCCTGAACCGGCTCAAGGCGCGGCGGCAGGTGCCCCACCACGCGGGCGACGACGGCATCGGGGCAGCAGTCACGGAGCAGGAGCTGCTGGCGCTGGACACCATCCGGCCAGAGCACGTCCTGCGCCTCAGCCGGGTCACCGAGAGTGAGTGCCGGGCGGGCCGCGCCCTCCCCTCGCGCCGGGTCCCCGGCCCCTGTAGCCTTCGGCAGACCCGGCCGCTCGACCGGCGCGGGGGTCCCCCGGTGGTCCCCCTCGGAGGGCCAGGCCGCGCTTCCCACTGCTCCGCCAGCCGGGTCTGCCCTCGCCACCCTCACCTGGCCCTGGCGGGGAAGGGGCTTTTGAGCTGGACCGGCTTTCCCTGACTGCGACCACGCCGGGCTTTCCCTTGGCCGGCCCGTTCCCCGCCTCTGCTGGACCTGGTTGGGTAGGGGGCCTGTTCAGCTGAACCAGAAGTTCTCCTGAGCCGGCCGGGGGCCGCGGTCCCCTAATAAGTGGGTCCCTGGCCCCTCAGCCTGGAACGCCCCAGCCATCAGTGAAGTTCCCGCTCAGCCAGGCCCTTCTCAACCGGTCTAACCCCAGCTTCCGCAGCTCTCTGCCAGGCCTGAATCCCTACCTGCTTTCTCTGCGTTTCCTTCTGCTCCGGCCCCTGACAGCCCCTCCCCTATTCCTGCCTGCCTCAGCCCCCTCCCCCTTTTGATCCCATGCGTTGCCCCTTTGTGTGCAGGTGGGATCTTCCTCAAAACACATGGCCGTTGCATTTTATGCAAATTTAAAACTGTGCCACATAAAAAAAAATTAAAATAAAGTTCGAGTTTATGTACAAACTCCAACATGTGGTGCCTCCTTTTGACATTTGTTCTAGTGAATTAAGAATTATTGTCAAGGTTTCAGAAATGGGTTTCCTGGCATAAAAGGCAACCATCCTAAGCTTTTTCATTGGTGTAAGGAAGGGTGGGAGGAAATATATTGCCCACCTCCTGTCCTGGATGAACTCCCTTTTTCTGTTCTCTGCCAGGCCCATCCCTGACTTGACACCCTTTCTCCTGCTGCTGTTCCCACGCGCCTCGCCCACCCCAGAATTTGCAATCGCCTGGTTACCGCTGCCTTGCCCTGCCCATCCCCCATGCCCTGCAGGCTTCTAACCCCGGTAGCAGCAGCACCCCTTGGTGGATGGAAGGCTACCATGGTGGTGTCTACTGAATCGAGTCAGCCCAGGGCTGCTCAGGTGTACCTCATTGGCAGCTCCAGTAATTTGGGGATGGGAGTTTGGGGGAGGTGGGCCTTGGTCTATCCTATGTGAAAGGGAATTCCCATCTCCTAAAATAGTTTTAATTTGATTATAGATATTTCGATGTCTTCATTTTTCCTCACTATTTGGGTTGAGACTGCCCTTTGCATGCCTGAGTGTATCTTTAGACAGCCTTGCTATTCAGTTTCATTGAAGCATTGTGAAAAAGCTGCTTCTGTTCTGACCCAGTTTTCATTTGGGGCTCTCAAAGTACAGAAATGCTCAGCACCTGACCTCTGTAACCTCATGCTCCCTCCTGAAATCAGAGGTGAGTTAGGTCATTCTAATGCCTGGCCCTAAGCAGCATTCTCAGTGGACACTCTGGTCCTGTCTGGGGGCTTGCGATTGGTACCATTGCCCAAAACCACCTCTGCAGCTTCTTGGAGAAAGCACAGGCCCAAGCTTGGCAACTTCTTTGTTACTCTTCTTAACATCTTGTTCCCTCTGTTCAACAAGGTATGTATTGAGTACCTTCTAAAGGCCAATGTCAGCTTTTTTTTGGAATTATAGAATAATTAGTAGCTCTCAAGTTTGTTGTCTTACTGGAGAGACAGCTTGTAAAACATGAAACCACTAACAGAAGAAAGCAATATGAAATAAAGAGTGTCAAAATGACTTGTGGAGAAGATGCTGTCAAGAGTCATCGTACAAAGAAATCAATGAAATTTCCTGTGATCCGTGCTATTTTGATTAGCTGCTCAGGTTTCTGTGGGCTCTGCTCATTTTGGCCTAATGCCCTCACTGGCAAATTTATCCTGTTGCCTGTGTACATACGGTCCACTGTGTGGTTTTGTATGGCCCACAAACTAAGAATAGTTTTTACATTTTTAAACAGTTGCAAAAATTTGTTTAATTTTATGACATGTTATATAAAATTGATATTTCAGTGTCGATAAATACAGCTTTATTAGAATATAACCACATTCATTTGGGTATTGTCTGTGGATGCTTTTGTACTACAATAACAGAGTTTAGTTGTGACAGAGACCATGTGGCCTAAATTATTTATAATCTGGCCTTTATAGAAAAGTTTGCTGATCCCTGCTTTCTTAACACTCATGGTTGGCAAACTAGCACTGCATTATCTGTTAGATCAGTTTAAATGTTTTAAAATGGATTTCTCTAAAAAATTCTATCCTGTTCTGACATCCAAGTTGATAGATAATGATTTGTAGGTGTTTCCAAAGAAAACCCCTTTTTCTATCCCCATTTCTGAAAGTTTTATGATAATCTTTCATCCAAACCAAGTCCTTGTGCTTTTTTTCTTTCTTGAATCGCCTAGTTCTGTCCACACAACTGTTGTTTATGACAGTATAAGGGGAAGTTTTGGGGGATATTTTAAGTGAATTGTGTAGGGAACAAACCTCAGTTTGCTTCAAAACTTGAGAATTAAATAAATGGTAGGATTTTTGGAGAATTATTTAACAGCGTTGATATCTCTCATTTTCAGGTTATTTATGTAAACCCGAAGACAACGTCTATAATATTGATTTCACCCGCTTCAAAATTCGAGATTTGGAGACGGGGACGGTGCTTTTTGAGATCGCCAAACCTTGCATTTCAGGTAGGCCTCAATATTGTAGTGACCACTTGACAGTTTGAGCAAAAGGTCTTTGAAACGAATATTTGTGTGCTACTGCATCCTATATCTTGGACACCAGTGTGTCCCACTTCTGTGACCTCTCCCGATGGCCTGGTTGGTTTGAAGCTTGTTAGGAGGCTGATATTTGTTGAATACTTATTTTGTGCTGGTTGCTGTGTTTCACTTCAGCTTATGTGATCCTCACTTATTATTATCCTCATTTTACAGAGAAGGAGCTGAGGCCCAGAATTTCCAAGTGACAGTCTCCTAAGGTTCTGTGCTCTTTCATCTTATCATATTACCTTCAATTAGGAAAGGAATCCTTGAAATTAAATTATAATGAGGAAAACTCACCCAAGCCTTGAGTCCTCTGGAAGGGTGATACTGAAGATTCCAGTCCAGACCATGAGGCAGTTGTACCCCAATCTCCTCATTCTCCTTTAAATAGTGTCTTACATTTCCCAGTAAGTCCTGGTTTGGATTTTAATCTCCACCATTTTCTGGAAAAACAGACCCAAGAACTCCATCTACTTAGGATTCCTTAAATTAGCCTTGAATAGATGCTTCCTGAGCTTGTGATACAGTTCCAGGGTGATTCATTCTGGCCAGGGGACCACGTAAGTCTTTGGAGCCTATTACTGGAGGTTTACTGCCCCCTGGAGTTAGTCATTTGTTAGAACACCAGTGCAGATGGATACCCTTTGTAGTGGTCCCCAACCTTTTTGGCACCAGGGACTGGTTTCATGGAAGACAATTTTTCCATAGTCTCTGGAAGGGCAGTGCAGGGGGCGGGGGTTGGGGATGGTTCTGGGATGATTCAAGTGCATTATATTTACTATGCAGTCAAATATCTCTACTAATGATAATCTGTATTTGCAGACAGTCCCTGGTGCTAGCATCACCACCTCAGCTCCACCTCAGATCATCAGGCATTAGATTCTCATAAGGAGCATGCAACCTAGATCCCTCGCGTGTGCAGTTTCCAGCAGGATTCACGCTCCTATGAGAATCTAATGTGGCCACTGATCTGACAGGAGGCGGAGGTCAGGTGGTGATGTGAGCAGTGGGGAGCGGCTGTAAATACAGATGAAGCTTTGCTCACTAGCCCACTGCCCACCTCCCTCTGTGTAGCCCGGTTCCTAATAGGCCACAGACCGGTACCTGTCTGCAGCCCGGGGGTCAGGGACTGAAACTTTATAGTATCAACTGTGGTCTGTAATAATAACTTATTTTGCAACGTTTCTTTCATTTGATTTGTGACTCAGAAAGAGTTTCAAAATTTGATAAGACCCTGGTCTCACCCCTGCCCAGTATTTTTTTTTTTTTTTTTGA